ATCCCAGTGACTCCCAGTGACCTCCCAGTAAATCTCAGTTTGATCCCAGTAACTCCCAGTGACCTCCCAGTGATCTCCCAGTAACTCCCAGTGATCCCCAGTGATCTTCCAGTAACTCCCAGTTTGATCCCAGTGACTCCCAGTGACACCCAGTGACCTCCCAGTAAATCCCAGTTTGATCCCAGTGACTCCCAGTGACACCCAGTGACCTCCCAGTAAATCCCAGTAACTCCCAGTGACCTCCCAGTAAATCCCAGTTTGATCCCAGTGACTCCCAGTGACCTCCCAGTAACTCCCAGTAACCCCCAGTGACCCCCCAGTAACTCCCCGTGACCCCCAGTGACCTCCCAGTAAATCCCAGTAAATCCCAGTGACTCCCAGTGACCTCCCAGCAACTCCCAGTTTGATTCCCAGTGACTCCCAGTGACACCCAGCGACCTCCCAGTAAATCCCAGTTTGATCCTAGTGACCCCCAGTGACCCCCAGTGACCTCCCAGTAACTCCCAGTTTGATCCCAGTGACCCCCAGTGACCTCCCAGTAAATCCCAGTTTGATCCCAGTGACTCCCAGTGACCTCCCAGTAACTCCCAGTGCCCTCCCAGTGACCCCCAGTGACCTCCCAGTAAATCCCAGTTTGATCCCAGTGACCCCCAGTGACCTCCCAGTAAATCCCAGTTTGATCCCAGTGACTCCCAGTGACCCCCAGTGACCCCCAGTGACCTCCCAGTAACTCCCAGTGATCCCCAGTGCCCTCCCAGTAACTCCCAGTAGCCCACAGTGACCCCCCAGTAACTCCCAGTGCCCTCCCAGTAAATCCCAGTAACTCCCAGATTGATCCCAGTGACCCCCAGTGACCCCCCAGTAACTCCCAGTGACCCCCAGTGCCCTCCCAGTAAATCCCAGTTTGATCCCAGTAACTCCCAGTAAGTTCCAGTTTGATCCCAGTAACTCCCAGTAAGTTCCAGTTTGATCCCAGTAACTCCCAGTTCCCTCCCAGTCCCTCCCAGTCCCTCCCAGTATAAACCAGTAACCCCAAATCCCCTTTTTCCCCCTCCCAGTTCCCTCCCAGTCCCTCCCAGTATAAACCAGTAACCCCAAATCCCCTTTTTCCCCTCCCAGTCCCTCCCAGTTCCCTCCCAGTTCCCTCCCAGTCCCTCCCAGTCCCTCCCAGTCCCTCCCCTTTAGCCCCGCCCACCTCTCGCGCCCCGCCCCGCCAGCCAATAGGCTCCTGCCGCG